GCTGTGCTTTCTCACTCTCTCTTCTCTATGACATCAAGTTGACAAACACCGCAGCGAGTACCGTATTTCAATTAAAAAAGTATATAGTATGTTTCAGAGCAAAGCGTGTCATTTGTGTTCATGCATGCAGCTCAAGATTCTGTGTTTTTAGCAGCTCACAGCGTCAAATGCTGCAAACTAGTGAGAATTTGTAATGAGAAGCGTTTGTAAACTTGTCACATAAACTTAAAGGTCTCCTTGCAGTTTTCCAAATAAAAGCTTGAAGGTTTAACACATAATGTTTGTACTTTTACTGCTGTACTGTAAAATAACTTATTTGTTGTATTGTGTATAATAATAATAATAATGTTTATTATTAATAATAATATACACTACAAGGCCTAAACCGAATTGTGTGATTATAAAAGGTGCCGAGAAACCAGTTTTCTGTGGTAAATTGCAGAAGTAGGACAGGATCACGAGAAGAGAGCCATTCTATGGCAGAGGCCAGGCTGGAGGATGAGCTGCACAGAGGTTATGATGGTCCACTGAACTCCAAACACAGCTGAGGTGGTACATTGAGCAGAGCACCATGTTAAAGCCCAGAGAGACTCAGGCTAATGATGCTTCTCTTAGTTAAGGGAAAAGAAAACAAGATATTAACTGAAAACCATAACACTCAGCTCTCAGTGAAAGTGAAGGCTGTAAATATTGCCAGTTATGAGTGATGGAAAGAGATTGACCTTGAGAGAACTAGCTGAGGGGCTCTAGATGGACAGGCAAAGCTCGGCCCGTGCGACATCAGCGTTAGTCTTATAAGGTCAGTGGTCTCCAGGACAAAAACACAATGTTCTTTCAGAGCCTGTGTTTCTTTGACTAAATCTGGGGCATTTATTTCCATATAAAGGATGAACCAGCTGCCCTTGCAGAAGTATTTGTGAATAAACAAAAGCTCAAAATATTTTATGCATTATCGACGGTTACAACATTTTAACTCTTTCCCCGCCATTGACGGAATTTTCCGGCTTTCGGTGTTTTCACTGTTGTACGGTAGATGGCGCTATTGCGCATCTTCTGAAAGAGTACTGAATCTCCTGATCAAAACACATGCGAAGATGATGCAGAAACAAGCAATATAATGTGTAATCATATGCTTAAGTAAAATAATGCGATTATCAACATTAAACAGCATATAAATCAAAATTGCCTAATGTTACTGAATGAAATGTCGACACAGGACGAGCTGTAGTGGTGCGTTCAAGTCCTCCTGGGAAGTTCGTATTTACTAAGGGGGTAATCCATCAGCCGGAAACTGAAGCTTATCTTGGGGGCCGCCATTGATTAGCAAGCCTTCACCTGCTGTTAGCATTCATTTTGGCGTCACTTTGACAGCGAATAACTTTACATCTGAGGCGTCCAAAGACTTCATTTGTCCATTATTTATTTCTAAAGAAACACGACAATGTATAAAAGGCTCCATTACTTTGTATCTTACGTTATGGCCCCGTAGAAGCCGTTTTTGTAAAAATAGGCTAACGATTGCGTCATAACCACTCGACTCTATGTCGCATAGTAGAGAAATTACCGTATAGACAGAAGGAGAAGCTCGCAGGCAATCGGGGGGGACGTGGAGGCATAAAGTCAAGGGAGAAGCCCATAGAGAGTCATAAAGTTGCTCCTGCTGCGAGCTCATGAACAGCTAATACTCACGCTCTCCGTCTCTGCAAGATTCGGAAGGGAATGATTCAGATTTCTCTTGGCACAGCTACTAGAAGACTTACAACTGTCAGACAGGTTGCTCACGTCACATCTACGTCGTCAAGCTCAGTTTGAGCCTGCGCAGAACGCTCAGCCATCAGGAAGTGAGTGCTTCTAATTGGCTTTACTTTTCTCCGTTGAAATCTATGGGGTCGCTGTGTCCATTTCTTTTACTGTCTATGGTATTTACAAGGTGGGAAGTCGTGTTTACAACAGCAGGTGGATTCAAATCACTTTGGTCGGAGTAAGATGGCGGCGTACTTTCTCTTAAAGGGATACTCCACCCAACAATGAAAATTCTGTCATCATTTACTCACCGTCAAGTTGTTGCAAACCTGTATGAGTTTCTTTCTTCTGCTGAACACAAAGGAAGATATTTTGAAGAACGATTGGAACCAAACAGTTGTGGAGCACCATTGATTTCTATAGTAGAAAAAATATATATACTATGCAAGTCAATGGTGCCCCATAACTGTTTGGTTCCAATAGTTCTTCAAAATATCTTCCTTTGTGTTCAGCAGAAGAAAGAAACTCATACAGGTTTGCAACAACTTGAGGGTGAGTAAATGATGACAGAATTTTCATTTTTGGGTGGAGTATCCCTTTAATAAATTACACCAAAATACAATAAGGTTCTTAAACTCAGAACAAATAAGAACAAAGAAATGTGCATCAGGTGTGCTTTGCTTTTTTAAGTTTTTAATTAATTTATGAAGCCACTGCAAACTTTATCGTTAAATATTATATTGTTATATTATAATGCCATCATATTCTGTGCAGGCAATTAGATTACTTCGCTGTAAATAGAAAAGCCGTACAATATCACTGCTAAATACCTTTAAGTATTGTGGTATTCCGCCATGTTTCTCACTGACACGCCCCCCAATTCGTAAAGATCGGGGCTTAAAGAAAATCCCGAGCTTCCCACTCGTATAACATTGTGGTGGCGTTCATGTGCGATCAACTCGTAAATATGATCTTTACGAGATGACTTGAATGCACCATAGGACTGTGCAAGTATTACTAGGGGTGTTGATGGACTAGATATACTCTATCTGTGTTTTGATCACCGTTCTGAATCCGATCTGGATGTAGTCTTTGACAAAAAAAGTGATTTTCTCAGCTTTTTGCTCAAAATGTTGCTTTTTTAAAGAAAATGTACCCACATTCAAGTGTTGATAAAAAGGAATGCATGAAGCTAGATAAAACAGATATATATATATATATATATATAAGCAGAGGGTCTGTTCTTTCTTTTGATATGTTGCATGTTCACATATTCATACAACAAAATATTCTGGGGGCCATGACATTTTTGTGAAAATGACCCAAAAAGCTGGTGGCTGGCAACTTTTCTTTTTTTAAAAATGCTATCTGAAAAAGAGTTAAAAAAAATAATGGTAAATGGTAAATGGACTGCATTTATATAGCGCTTTCACAGACCCATGGCCACCAATAATACTCTTGTTTTCAGACAAAGTAAGATAATAACTATAATATTATTGACCTAATTTAAATAATTTCATATTTTTATTTTATTATTATTTAATTTAAACAAGTATAATTATATCATCAAATTTGGTTTTCTTATGTAAAGTTTGGGGTTGAAGACCCATGATGCTCTCGGCCCTATACTATCACTATCGCAATCATAAGACAAGTGCTGGTCCACTCATTTTTCCACACCCACTTGTAGGAAACTTTTCCAGGGGAAACAGTATAATGGTCCAGTGTATGGTCTTTATAAGACAGTTCAAGAAAACATAAACATGACAGGAAGCCTTCACAAGCCTTGTCTGTGACTAAAAACATTTGTAAATGTACTGAGTCGTGAGTTCAAATCATCCATTACCAGGATGGCTGCTGAGTTACTCAGTCCCTTCTCAACTTTTTCACACTGTGGCCAAGTGATTTGTTGCCACATGTGATCTACCCCAACGCTCAGCTATCTTCATCATCACTACATCATTTTGGCTCTAGCCCGATCACATACACACACCATACACACAAAGAGCAAACCGATTGTAAATCGATTCTGTTAGATATCGTAAAGATATCGTAAAAGCTAAGCATTTAATTTGTCTAGACTAGAGTATTAAAAACAAAGAAAACTGAAAACAAAACACTGAACACTGACTATGAACTTTTGAACATTTCTTAACTGAGAAAAACTAAATTACACTTCACTGACACAGAGCTAACTCAAAACATATTTCACCTCTTAAATAAATATTTCCCAATATACCAAATATATACCTCTAAAACTAAATCGATTTTTCAGCTCAAGAGTGCATGACAAAAACACAGTTTTAGTCCGGTTATAACACGTTCCAAGGCACCCAATATGTTTCACAATAAATTAATGTTATTTAAAACAGTTGCCATAAAATACTTTTACAAAACAGCAACAAAGGCACTGGCTGACCTTAGCGGAATAATTCACCCCCAAAATAAAAACTGTCCTCATTAACTCCTAGAGAGTAGTGTCCACTACTAGAGTAGTGTCTCCACTACCTCCACTACTAGAGTAGTGTCCTCCTTTCAAAATTGCATGATTTCTTTCAACAAAAAAGGATTCTTTCCATTCACTTTCATTGTATGGAAAGAAGCAACAAAAATGAATGGAGACAGAGACTGCCAACTTCCCCTTTTGTGTTCCCTGAAAGAAAGTCGTGCTTGTTTGTAATAACATGAGGGTGATTAAATGGTAAATTCTCATTTTTGGGTGACTTATTTCTTTAAATACATGGTTTCTGAACTCTAATTTAAATTACATTAAACAGCTCTGTAGTCTGTATACACACCAGCTGATTCTAACAGCTGACCGTGTATCAAACCCTAGTGAGCTGCCAACAGACAGAATTTTTGAGCATGACAAACTTACTTAGTTGATGGTCAAAGGGTTCAGAACGTTCCAGACACGTCTATGAAGCCCAAAATGTTGTCTAGTTAGGCAGCTCACTAGGTTTTGCGACACAGCCACTGACTCCCTGGCTCTGGCTGGCTTTGCGGCGTGTTTGGCTCAGCAACTTCATACGAGGCAACCGCCAGTTTAAAGATAAAATGAATTAAAGGGACAGTCCCATAACACAAATGTCACCACATATAATCATAATATTACCTTAAGCGAGTTGTTTTTGTGTAATATCTGCTCAGGTTGAAGCGGTCTGACTGGTTGCTCGTTAGCTGATTAGCTAGAAGGTCATTCGCAATCGACTATGAGAAATAAAGCCTCCTGAATTAACGTGTTCTCCATAAATTACCTTGTCACTGATGTTTTCCGTGCTGTCAGGGTCTGCTCCTCCTCCTCGCCGTCTCAGCTCAGCTAAATTATACATAGATATCGTCGGAGGTCCGCGTTAAAATGAAGCAAGCGGGATTCGTGTCTGTCTCAATAATCCGGTTAATTTAACCGACTGCGACCATCAAAGTGTCTCCCGCGGCAGGTGGAGGGACAGACAGCCTGCGTGCATTTGTTTATGCCCGCAGATCTGCTGCTGTTTTGTTAGTTAGGTGAGAGACCAACCCCTCTCTCTCTCTCTCTCTCTCTCTCTCTCTCTCTCTCTCTCTCTCTCTCTCTCTCTCTCTCTCTCTCTCTCTCTCTCTCTCTCTCTCTCTCTCTCTCTCTCTCTCTCTCTCTCTCTCTCTCTACCTCTCTCACTCACTCAGTGACTCAACATAAAGAGGAAACACTGCTCCACTCTGCGGCGGGAGTTCAGGTCACTTCACTTGAAACTATGACAGTCCATATGTGATTATGTCTGTGAATGTTGTTGATGATGTGAAGTCAAGACATCTCACACCACCATGATGACGTTCTTTTTGTAACCTTGAACCTAAAACTCTCACACACTCTTTTCTTGGACTGTAATACTAGCTCTCCTATAATTGTCAACACATTAAAGTTAATAATTATCCTAGGGAAGTTTAATTTACATAAAGCTAAGGTAGCTAATATCCGTTAAGCCCTCCTTTAGATTTTTCTTTAGGCTACATATCTAAAAAATATTTTATGACTCTTTGAATGCAATTACCAGAAATAAGTTTTTTTTTTTTTAAATCTCTTATTCTGAGAAAAGTCTGTAGCTTAGAACTTAATGTTGTACATATGCTACAAGAAAATGTGTAAATTGATCAAGATAAAGAAATGTCTTCTGATAATGTATAGCCTAAGCCTGCAGAAATAGAAAGATCTTATGTGTCCACATGTAAATTTCCCTATTGACTCACCCCTCATGTTGTTCCAAACTTGTATAGCCTAACCCTTTTCCCACATAGTAAAAGTGAAAGAAAGTGAGTCATAGGCTACTGAAACAACGTGATGACAACGATTTTATTTTTGATAATTTACTATCATTTTAACCCTTAATATGTAGACTATATTTGGTGGCAGAATTTCTGCCCCCTTATGATCAAATTCCCAAATTTCACCATAAAATTATCATCATTTACAGTAGCCTACTTACACTTATGCCGTATATAACTTTCTCTGGTTACCCGTTTTGTTTTCTTCTGAACTTCACCGAAGGGTGAACAGAATAAAAATGTTGTTCTCACAATATTTTTACACAATACTCCCAAGTGTTTGGATGAGGTGAAATTATTTTTTCCATTAATGATCAGAATGAATAAAGGGCAAGATCTGTTATTTCAATAAGAAACATAGTTTTTTACTTTAGTCTTGTAATGGCAGTTAAGGCTACGTAGCTACACACTGCATCTAGTTTTGGAGAAATATCTTATCATTGTTAAGCTGATGATATTCAATTATATTTATCTTTTAGCCCTGATAGGCTGGATAAACTGTCCTTGTTGCACAATTGCTTAGCCTCCATTAATAAATGGATGGCAGACAACTTTTTGCAACTAAATTCAGACAAAACTGAGGTGCTGATTTTTGCTCCAGACAACATTACTCCAAAGATTAGGCAGGCCATTGGGGCTCTACCATCCTCGGACGGTAATGTTGTGTGAAATTTGGGTGTCATTTTTGATAAATCCATGAGTTTTAGCAGTCATGTTAAATCTGTGGTTCGTTCCTGTTTTTTCCATCTCAGGAACATCGCTAAGATTAGATCCGTGGTTTCTAAAGAAGAGCTGGAGATGCTTGTTCATGCTTTTATTTCCTCTCGTCTGGATTATTGCAATGTACTGTACACTTGTTTAAACAAATCCTCCATGGACAAACTGCAAGTTGTACAGAAAGACTTTTGTCAAAGACCAACAGGAGATCACGTACCTGTGCTTAAGGCTCTTCATTGGCTTCCAATTAGTTTTAGAGTGCAGTGTAAAATTTTAACCATTACTTACAGAGCCTTCCATGGTCAAGCTCCCTCTTACATCCAGGATCTATTGCACACACACACACACACACTCCTGGTCGCTCTTTGGGGTCTTCAGGCCAAGACCTTTTTACTGTTCCTAGAACACGTCTTAAAACAAGAGGTGATCGTGCTTTCTGTGTGGTGGCTCCAAGGCTCTGGAACTCTCTTCCATTAGCCTTGAGAGCCTTGGACTCTGTAGAAACTTTTAGAAAATACCTTAAGACACATCTTTTTAGACAAGCATAGCCATATGGTTTTGTTTGCGTTTTAAGTGTGTTGTGGTTTATATTTGTTTTATTATTTCTGTTTTTATTGTGAAGCACTTTGTGACCCTTCTTGTCTGTGAAAGGTGCTATATAAATAACGTTTACTTACTTACTTACTTACAGCTACAGTGAATATGGTTGTCACTCTTTTGCTGTATATAGAGTTCACTTATGTGTGAAATCCATATCCTGCAACTGAATTCAATCAACAGTGACAACCGAATTCTCATTAAATCTTTCTAGTGTGTACAGAACATGAATATAAGCATAGATGTTCATGCAGTGCCAGAAGCTAATGTGTCTCTGGCTATTATTTTTCCTTTTTTTATAAAGTGAACAGCAATCAGGTTCAATTTGAGGCATTCATGTTTCTTGTTTACTCCCAAGACATATAAACTTTGTTACAATGTCAACCATCATGAGTTTGTGTGTTACATCCGCCAGCTGGAGTGCCTATGATCTCCAACAGAGGACACTACTCTCGACTCCTTTGCGCTCCCGTTATGAACTACTTTACCCATAAAACATTGCCCGGACTCATTAGGATTTGATTTGTCCCACCTGTGGATCATTAGCTTGTTTGTGTTTGCCTATTTAAGCTGTGGTCTGGTTTGCTTTCAAAGCGTAGCTTTTTTAGTGCAACTGCATTTCCAGTGTTTCATGTTCTCTGCCTGTTTCCTTGGATTCTGTCTAGTTTGGATTGTTCTGTGTGTTTGTTTGACCATTTGCCTGTTTTTGACTTCTATTATGGATTGTCCTAAATAAATGCTGCACTTGGATCGCTCATAAAGTCTCAGAGCAGTGAATCATAACAGTACACCACTGATCTATAAAAGAGATGTATTTGTCTATATAGATCATTGGTGTACACACAAGGCACAGTAATTTACAGGTTACTTTCAATAATTTGTGTTCAAATAGAAATGTCATGATGCCATTTTATATTTTAGAACATATATACATGATTTACTTTGTATTTTTTGGTGTAATAAAGAATATTATAAAGTGCCATAGCAAACAAACAGATGAGTGGTATTGGCACATCACTCAGATTACAACATTGTCTCTCATTTCCTTGCTCTCTCAGTGCAGTGGTTTACTGGACACCCAAATTTAAACATTCATGTTCCATAGAATGGATCGTTTCTCAAACAAATGAGCATTCAGCGGTGTTCCCGGAAACCAGTGATCAAACACCTCAGTGCTTTCACCAGAGACTTAATACTTAAGACTTTGTTGTAGCTGTTAGCGATCAAGGCAAACATGAGTTTTTCCAAGCACGATGAATGCTGTCTCGATTAAACCGCTTTTATCAAATTTGTTCAATTTAAAAAGTGTGAAATCACATTTGTCCTATATTGTTATACATTTTCTAAAGTCTTCCTAGTCATAATGAAGTTCTTGGCCTCCAAGATTTTACATTCATTCACTACACTGGAAGTTAATATGGAAAAAACTCATTTGAGGACATTGGTGGTGATAAACAGCAAGTATTTAATTGAAATTAAATTAAAAAGTATGAGTACCATATGTATTGCGTCATAATAACAGGTATAAGGGTTTTTTATGGGGGACGGGGGTTTCATATAATTGTTTTTCAACACAAATATACAATGAACATTCAGCTACCACAGTTTTGCACACTAGATACTGTAGTAATGCAGTCTATCACAAGACCACCAAACAGGGACAATCCGTGTGTATTTCATCAGTTCTGAGATCAGTCCTCAACATCCATACATATAATATAAAAGTCATTCCAGAGTCATGGGACATGTTCTCTGTATATCCGCCTAAAACTGTACACAAAACCTTCAGGATTGACTCGTTAGATAATGCCATAAAAATGAGCCAAAGAAAGAAAACAAAACAAAAACAATGCCAAAACATGTACAAAACTCTGACACAGAAAGTCAGCTGTGTTAGACATGCAACAAGTAACCAAACTTGCTGAAAAATTACAAACAAAACAAAAATTCATAAAAAAAGAAAACCTTATAATTGCATAAATACTTTGTACAGTTCATCTCACTGTAAAGAAATGCACTCTTTCAAAATAATAGCCCACAACATTAAAATGCATCTGATAAAACAATGATTACTCCATGTCTCTATGTCAAGGTGCAAAAATAATTTCAGATTGATAAAGTCGTTTGATCTTTGAGCTGCTTGTCGACAGCAAAATCCCAACAGCTTTGTGACGTTATGATTGCACACTGAATTACAGTACATTAATACAGAATAATTCAACTATAATGAGTGCATATTAGGTTGTACGGAAATCATACATAAAACTGCAACTGTAACAAATTTTTCATATTTTAAAGTTGTAAGTGTCGGACAGTTTAAAGGAAGAAAGAGAAAGATATTCTCTCTATTAATTAAAGCAGCACTTTTGATAGGTATTGCCCACAGTATCAAAAGAAAAGCAAAAAAACAAAAACAAAAACATATACAAACAAAAAAAAGAAAAGATGAAACAAACTTTCTATTTCATAGTCTTGCCTAAGGTACAGAGAAAGTAGGCTTCCAGTCCATCAAAAAGTGTTCAATCCCTTTTTCTTTACACATGATAACTTTCAAGCTACAGTCTTTCGTCAAATGTATGTGGAGTGAAATCATCAGGAACTATTGCTTTCATAATCTACAGACGTTTAAACTGGTGCAACATCGCAAACGGTTAAAATTGAGATTTTAAGAATAAGAATAGTGAAAAAGTAAAAAAACAAAGCTAGAGTCAAATCAACA